GAATTAACTAAAAAATATTTATAAAAGTAAAATTTTGCTAAAAAAAAACCAACAAACCTCAAGATCGGTAAGCGGTTTGCCTTCAATGGTTGCATTCAATAGTAGATCCAAAAAAGCGCGTTTCTTTCGAATGCCGATGGCTTCATTCTCCTCTTCCTCCTGGCTGCTGCTACTACTGTTTGCATTGTTGTTGATTTTTTTCGTTAACAATTCCTGTCGTCGTTTTCGTATTACATCATCAGTAAATCCATGCAGGATACGCAATGCGGCTGCCTGTTGTTTGGCCAAGCTTGAATGTTGATAGAATAACGGATATCGAAGTATAAAATCAAGCATGCGAGTGTGCAGCACATGAGCAATTCTAATTGAAACACAACCGAAATGAAGTCATTAAAATTTCATTAAACTTCGTACAATTATTGAGAAAGACCGAGAGGATATAAAATGTTCGACCGTCTCCATTTGAACTCACTCTTTGACTGCCTTAACATATTCCGAATTCGGTTGTGAAAGAGCGTCGATGCTAACACCCATTGCCGTTTCTGTAATTATAATTAAATCATATTTTAGGTATATATGACAAGAACGCTACATACGTTGTGAGGGGATAATAAATTTCATATATTCTTGAATGGAAACAAAACCGTATAGAGTTTTAGCTTCGAAACACAAATTGCCAATCAGACATAAGCAAACAAAGTCGCCGTATGTAAATAATAGTACACACGTTACAAACAGCGATTGCTGTTGAAAATGAAATGATTTTATTGTGTAAATCGAAATGACAACACTGTATTTCATGTAGTTTAATAGTTGTAATCGTCAAATGAGAGAGTAGTAATTGTTTTTGTTGGCACCACAAATGACAAATGAACATGATGAATATCAATTAAAACTTCAACGATGAATATACATAGAATTTACTTTTCATTAAGCATTTTTATCACGTAAACACAATTTCTTTTAGTCAACGAGACAAAAACAACAACAAAAAATATTGCATTTGTCGAATGTGGAATAAATTCAATTAAATATGAAATCACCGCGAGGAATTCCATTGCATATTCGATCGCTCACTCTCCTATCGGCAGCAATATCATGTATGAAAATTCACAAAATTGCATTGCCAATACTTGTATAGAACACTGTGTGCATAACATTCGAAGTCAAAGATCAATTCAATTCAACTAAAATGACGTTGAAATCTCCAACCGAGAGAGATAGCATGCTACGTGCTACAGAAAAAAAGTCACTTGTGTTGTAGTGCTCCAGTTTAAAATGTGTGACACGAAAACAGGTTAAAAATGCGATCGAAAAAGGCCGATTGAAATCAATATGAAATAATAATAATAATAATTACTGATTTTGACGCAACGCCTATGAAGATTTTTTTTTGTCATTTACTCACCACACATCACATCTAATGCATACAATACAGCGATAGGATAAAATTCCACATCGTCGGCAACATCGTATGTTTTCAATTTATCCACAACTGTGTTTCCCAAACGATCGAAAACTTCAACGAATTTATCCAAAATGTTGAAATGGAAAGCCGGCGTTATCACTTTTCTGCGATCGTGCCATTTTTTGCCTGCAACGCGCAAACATTAGGTTATTATGGTATTGATAATGATCAATCATTATGTCATTACCTCCGCTAAGTAGTAATCCTTCGTTCAGCCACGGTTTTACAAACTTATACTCAGTCGACTTGTCAATATAGCGAGGACTACTTAATAGAATCTAAAATTAGAATAAGCGAAATGAGATCGTTCAATTACGTATTTAAAAAAAAAGAACTATTATTGCCAATTAGGCAATTGTTTGATATGCACGCAATCGGCGTTCATGTTCCAATATTGATTTTCGAATAATTACAATTTTTCATTGGGATTATTGAAGAAACAACAAAGAATCAGATATTATTCGATAGAATTTTGTATATAATACAATGCATCGCCGGAGAATCTCAAACAAAAATCTAAGTAAAATTTGTTCGGATATCATTATTGATTTTACTAGAATTTTCACCATTGACGTTGATACACGTTAAATTTACATCTGTTTATGCATAAGTGTTAGTTTTTTCAAAGTCAAGTTTAGTATCAATGTATTGTAATAAGCGAACGATAATGACCATGAGTTATAATTTTTTAATAAATGCAACAAATTTAAAACGAGCAAACCGGTTTCTTCTATTCATATCGGTTATGGAGCCGATACAAGTACGTTCGCACAAAAGCCACAATTCAACAATGCAATTCAAGTTACAACTGATACGCTTTAATATGAATTGTAAACAAAATATTTCAGTAACAATATATTGTATATCTATGCGTTTGCGATTAAATATTTTTAGAATAAATTATTTCCGAGACTTGTTGCAATTCTTCCGGCCGAAATCGAAACAAGAACCGCCGACCACAAAAAGTAAAAGTTGAAGATCAAACCGGTTGTGTCTTTTACGCTCGTCTAGTCGTATCAAGGTCACATGTTGATTCCATCAATCAGTAAACACGAGCCAAGTAAATATGCGACTTTTTTTGTCGTCATCATCGCATGCGTAATAAATTATTTACTATTTTACACTTGTCGTTGAACCGTCGAATTTTGTAGACATATGTTTTGGATTTTTTCCCATTTATTTTCAATGTTTTTCTCTCTAGATAGAACTTGTTAAATATGAATGACAACAATTAATTCACTCGGCACTATATTGCATCCGCCTGACAAACCTTTTCATTTTCCGCTTGAATGAACAATGAACATGCATTTTTTTTTTTAAATAAACACAATAAAACCGACTATTACATTGACTGTAAGAAAAAGCTAGTATCACTTGGTTACTGATTCTAACTGTTATCGGTTGTATTTATCTAACTGTTTGTTTACACAACAAAATCATACGGGTTCATGAATGTGCGAATTTTTTATGTATAAAATCATGTTTTTCAGGTAGATACCTAAGTAGATATCGTTTTTTTTTAATTGTGACAAATTGTGGTTTGCGACAGATGTCCCACAGTTTGATATTTAATAATAAGTAATTTAAAAAAAGAAACAGGTAAACAGGTTATAATCATATTTTTGTGTAAAAATCGACGAGTCACCGTTTTTTTATACGTAATAACTAACAACGATAGTTGAGATCACATTGAAAGCGATCAAAACAATGATGTGAAGCACTGACCTTGAACAATTCCGTATTGGAATTTCGTATAAATACAATTCAGCATTTGATATATATTTGTTGTGTCTAAAATGGAATGTTTTACCACAAACAAAAAATACCAAAAAAAGTTGGACATGAGAACTGCAGCTTATTTTTTTTCTGCATGTGCTAATACCAAATGTATACTTTTTCGAATATTTTTTGTTACTCAACACTATTGGCACTTCATCGATTTCTCAGAACAAACGTTACAAAAAATGTCACATATAAATATTATTCTTTGGTGATATCATATTTATTGCTTACCTCAACATCTTTTGGGTCAGAGATAATGATATTCAATTCTGGGCCGAGCCATACTCGAAAAAAAAACACCGTATTGTTTTATCAAATTTATGATAACGGTGAAGTTCTCTGTTTTAAATACAACAAAAAATCTAATTAGCATGAGTGGTCATTAGCTTTTGTTCTGTTGTTTATTGTGATTAATTCATAGATGATGTTTATGATTAAATTCACTCCAGTATTTGTTTGCAAGTGAGAAATTAAACAATACCACCTACCTGCTGATGAATTATTTAAAAATAGTAGTCCGTTCCCAATTATTGGCCAGCCAGATGGACCATCAATTTTCAATGATACATAAAATGCATGAAATATTTCATAGTGGAATCGTAAAATATATGCAATGATTGTTGCCAGTAATACACCCAAAAACAGAAACATTGTTCACCTTGCATTCAAGATAATAGTTTCTCAATCGATTAGAATTTTGCGTGATAATCGCGACACTAATAAGGTGTGAACCAAGCGCGACGAATGTCAACAATAAACTGAACGCGACTCGCACAATATAAAATGCTTTCGGTTTCAATTCACTTGTTTGACACACAACAAAAAGAAGCATTCTCGATTGCTCGAGTGTGATCGTTATCGTTTGCAAGATTAAGTGGAGAACAAGCTCTCAAAAACACGCTTCGGAACACTCATGTCTCGTTCATCGTTCTATATATACCAAAGCATCGGTCAGACAAGATTCTCTCATTTTTTATTTATCGTGAAATCGTATCGCCCTTTGCACGCTCGCCGCACATACGCATGTTCAATTTGTCTGTGTATTTTTTTTTGTTTCTATGGATTTCAAGTTTTATTAGTATTCAATTAATTTACGAAAATAGTAAAAAAAAAGAATTAAATCAAACACGTATGAGAATTAACCTATTTAAAATAAACAAATTCAATATTGAAATTAATATGCGCAATTTTGCTTCGAGTAAGTGGTTTCGTTCATTACAAACCGCATTTAAAACTACGAATCGAAAATTGAACGCAATGTGACGTCAGTTTTACAACAAGCTACACACATGCGAAGTATTACAAGACTGCATTTAACTTGCGTAGAGAGCAATGAACTCTCCGCGATTCTCTTTAATCGAAAGTGAGATAAAATGCCGAATATTTTGGGTGCGATTTTTTTCTGCGCCTTTTTGTATGATACTGCTGTTAATTAAATTAAGATATATCCATACGCCTAAATTTATATGGCAAATTCACTAATTCGAGATAAATTAAAATCACGCATATTTTGGTTTTCACCAGACATTTGGTTTTCACCAGACAGTCAATTTTTGTTTTCTTGGTGGTGTCACTTCGCTCAATCAATGTCATTAAATTAATATGCAGAAATTTCGTAAAATGTTTCAGATGATCATCGCTTAAGAATAGTTTATTGTCAATAAACTAAAAAAACATGACAGCCTAAATTTTTGAAAATTATTACTGCTTTCGGAAAAATTAAAACGAAAATAATTACCAAAACTTCAAATAAATTTTCACACATTTTTTTTATTTTCCAAAATACGATTTTTTTTTCTCAATGAATAGAAAATGCAACAGAAGAAATGAATTTTTTCAAAGTAATTTACACAGTGAAAACGTCAAAAGAACACTTACAAATAATAAGAAAATATTTAATAGACCCTTGGTTTGAAATAGAAGCTTATTCGGCTATCCGACCGCAGTACAAGCTCTGAACACAAAACCGGATACGTTTCGCTTTCATTAGTTAACACAATTTCAAAATTGCGCAGAATTTTCGATACAATGCTTTTGATCTCATACATAGCAAACTTTTGTCCAATACAATTGCGCGGTCCGGCTGAAAATGGGATGTAAGTGAATGCATTTTGTTTTTCCATCGATCGTTCGACCAAAAATCTTTCGGGTCTGAATGTTTCTGGATCTTCAAAGTATTTTTCATTGTGACCCATGGAATAAATCGGAACTATTATGTTTGAACCGGCTGGAATTACTCGATTCTCAGCTGAAATACGGTAAGAAATTAACATGTAAATGGATTTTATCAAGAAGGAAAATAACGAACGTACTTAGTTCAATGTCATCTAAAAGTTTTCGACCGATAAACGGAACTGATGGGAATAAACGTAATGTTTCTTTTACTGTCATTTCCAAATACGATAGTTGATTTAATTTCGCTAGTGTTGTGGGTTCTTTGGTGTTCGTTCCAAATACGTCAACAATTTC